TCACAAGCCCCACCGCCCCAGTGTCCCTGTCCATTGGTTATGCTAATATGCATGCATACAAGTCCTTTGGTTGATCTCTTACTGCCCCCCCACACACACACACACACAGCTGCCTATTAAGACTGTAGTTCTGTTGGACAACTCATTTTCCATTGAAATAATAAGTATCACTCATCACCTTTTACAACTTAAAAAAGATATTCTTAACTACTTGTAGGTAGAAGAAAATTAAAAGTATGGTTTTAGCTAATAAGAGGCTAAATTAACCATTGCCTTTTACTTTGATGATACAATTAGCAGCACCTAGCCAGGCCAAGGGAAACTAAAAATCTAATAGCCCATCTTATATCTCTAGTATATACATACATATTCACATACTGCGAGAGTCCACGGCCAGCGTGGCTTTCGCGGGTTCAAAGGCTTGGAGGAAGAGCTGACGCACAAATGATACACAAGACGAAATATTATTTTTAATACCAGGGGAACCAGAGGACAACTTAACCATAGCAGTCAAGTTCTCCCTGTTGCTTCTTTCCCAGCTGCTTTTATTAGCTAGAATACACAATTGCCTTTAGGAATGCAAACAGACATATCAATGGTAATGTTTAGCAAACAGTAAGATTGCCAGGTCTTGGGGGAGTTTGCTTTAGGCCATTGAGTCAGCAGCAGGTAATAAAATGTAGATATTCACCCTGTGAATATCAAAAGGAGTCCTGGTCAGCCTTCTGCCAGACTCCTCACATTTATATCAATTACTGTTGATCTTGGTCTTCAGCAACATACAACTGTATAAAAGTATTAATAAAAATAGAATTTTAGAACCAGAAGAATATTGAGAATCATATAGTCCAACCTTTATTTTGTGAATTAGTTAAGTTAGACTCAAAAGGTTTGGAACTCACCAGCTTGGTTAGTTAATATACCACACAAGAAACTACTATAAATGTGTTTTTCTCAGTCCAGTCATGTTTTCACAATGTACCTTTCCTATCTTTAAAGTGCATGACACAATCAGATTCCTTCTTGGAGAGGTACAATTGAATTTCTCAAATTTTTATTATAACTCTAAAAGAAATTGGTGTTTGAATTAATCCGCTCAGGCTGCCATAACAGAATATCACAGACTAGATAACTGGATTATAGATAACAGAAATCTGTTTCTCACCGTTCTACAAGCTATATGGACGCAAATTTAGTTTCTATTGAGGTTTTTCTTCCTGGCTTACAGATGGCTACCTTCTCCCTAGGCCCTCACATGGCCTTTCCTCTGTGCACAGGCACGCCTAATGCCTTTTCCTCTTTTTATAAGGACACTGGTTCTATTGAATTAGGGCCTCACCCTTATATCTCATTTAATTTTAGTTACCTCTCTAAAGGCCCTATCTCCAAATAAAGTCACATTGGGGGTTAAGACTTCAACAAATGAATGGGAGGGAAAACAACACAACTCAGTCCATGCAGTATTTATCTTCAAGTCCTTCACATTTTAAATCATTTAGTTTTACTTTTTAAACTTAAAGAAATGTCTATGTATAGGGGAATATGGATTTTTTTTATGCTTATCCTACTTTGTAATTTTCTTTGTATTGAGCATATATTACTATGGAAGTTTTCAAACATAATAATAGCAAGTAGACAACTACAAAAAGGGGAAGGGGTGAATGGGGGGGGACATCTGTAATAGTTAAACAGTTAAAAAAAATAGCAAGTAGAAACTGCTTTAAAACTTACCAAGATTGGTAATGGCTTTCAATGTATAGCTCTCAGAAAAGAAGAAATAAATGGTGTTAATCAACCTCTGGATATCAGAAGTCTGCATTTCATTGGTAGACCCAGAAGGTTGTATCCTCTATGGCATTTGCTTGACTATACATCTATTCTGGCATCCTTTGGGGGTTCAAGGTGATTCAGAAGAGAAAGACAAGTAGTCATGTCACTATGATACCTAAAGGTATAGACAGTCATAATTGTTCGGTAAATTTTATGTGGATACTACAATAACTGCGTGGTTGACTTTCAGGGAATCCTGTGTCAGCCGTGGTCACCTGCAATCTCTTTGTTGTGCCTGCACTGAGAAAGATGCAGGGCATCTTGGATCCTCGGCCAACCATCATCAAAGCCAGGGTAATGTTTTCTAATGACCAGGAAACAAAATAGAAGCCTAGTAACAGTTAAGGATGTGATCGAGATCTAGAAACATCTCGAGTTTTATATTAGTTTTGAGAGGAAATGGGGTTACAGTCTCTCCTTTGTGATAGAAAATAGAGGAAAGGGCCCCTTTTATTCCCCTCCCACATTATTTCATGACTTCTAACATGAACAATTTTCTCCAGCAAGAAGTCCATATGGTAATGGAGATATAATGACAATTTGATGCAACTGATTCTTGTTTCTTAAATTAATATAAATATCTCCTTCAAAACAACCCCATTTTGTAGATGAACAAACAAGTATCAGAAAGCAAAATAACTTGCTAGTACAGCCATCAGTTAGCAGTAAAGCTGGAAGTACAACCTAGGTATGGGTAACATCCCATTCCAACATCTGTTCCACTGTACTCCTATAAACCAATCAGTGTGCATTGTTTGGGGGGTGGGGGGCTGCTTAAACACTTAGCAGATCACACATCCATGCGAACAGCTCTTGTAGTTAGTACTGGAGAACACACAAACAGAGAGATATTCAAAGAGAGATTTTGCCCTCAAACACAAAATAATTTAGGAATAATCGCAAGTTAAACCCCAATTGATATGAAATAGAGTATAAACATAAGATTAAGTGAAAGTGTGGAGTGTGATTTAATCAAGAAAAACACCCTACAATTGAATTATATTCTAGACTCCAGAGGAAAAGCATGGGTTGTCAGAGTGAATAATTAGAATACTTAAAAACATAGTCACCAGAATGGATTGGACACAGACTTACTTAAATCAAAATTTCCAATTTTAATTGCATCATCCAATCTAAGCAATATCTTTGTTAGTTAGAGCTACAGCCTTTCTATATCATTTTAAGGTAAAGTGATTTAAATGATTATGCTAATAAAAAATGTTAATTCTTGCTCTGGCCAGTGTGGCTCAGTTGGTTGAGCATTATCTCATGCACCGAAAGGTCACCGGTTCGATTCCAGGTCAGGGCACATGCCTAGGTTGTGGGCTAGATGCCCAGCATGTGACAAGTAGGAGGCAGCATATCAATGTTTCCCTCACATCAATGTTTCTCTTTCTTCCTCTCTTTTTCTCTCTCTCTCAAATCAATAAAAACATATTTTTAAAAATTAGACCCAATCTTTTCATCTGCCTCTTCCCGAACTATGAATACCAACTTCTTGGCCTTCTTTTCTCTTTTCATCAGAGCAACCCAACCTCTGGATTTCCTGTATTAAGAATATAAGGTGGTCCCTACCTGGTTTGGCTCAGTGGATAGAGCATCAGCCTGTGGACTGAAGGGTCCCAGGTTCGATTCCAGCCAAGGGCACATGCCCGGGTTGTGGGCTCCATCCCCAGTGGGGGTGTGCAGGAGGCAGCCAATCAATGATCCTCTCTCATCGTTGATGTTTCTATCTCTCTTCCCTCTCCCTTCCTCTCTGAAATCAATAAAAACATATTTTTTTTAAAAAGAATATAAGGTAGCAGTGGTGGAAACAGCAGAATACCAAGATAATTTTCATGTCCACTCTATTCTTTGCACAAACTCCACCACCCTCTAGTTCTAAGAGATGATCCCAAAATGATCAAATTTGTTTTATTTTCCTCTCTATTCTATAGTTATCATGTGATGTAAAACTGGATCCTCGCCCAGAATACCATCGGTGTATACTGACTTGGCATCACCAAGAACCACTGCCTTGGGCACAGAGTACAGGTTAGTCATTCACACCTACAGGTACATCTGTGCACTTATTCTGCTAAAATCACATGTATATAACCTCCTTCCTTGGGTATACACAATTTGGAATTATTATATAGTTTCCTTTTTGGAAGATTAGATGAATTAAATATTCTTAAACATACAGTATAACAGGACAAAAGAGTAAAAAAAATTATAATAAATATTTAATTATCCATGGAGCCATGTTTTCTAGATAACCATTTGAAAACAAATCTATAATTACAAAAGATTTTTATCTATTAGTTCAACCGGTAAGTTCTGAGCATAATTTTGGTTGTAGAAAAAGGAAAGACTGTGGCTATGCCACCTTAAAACATGAGAATAAAGGCCAATTATAATGTGAGTCTCTAGAGCAGCGGTTCTCAACCTGTGGGTTGCGAACAATGAAAATACATCCTGCATATCAGATTCATAACAGTAGAAAAATTACAGTCATGAAGTAGCAACGAAAATAATTTTATGGTTGGAGGTCACCATAACATGAGGAACTGTATTAAAGGGTCGTGGCATTAGGAAGGTTGAGAACCACTGCCCTAGAGCCTCCACTATACCCTAGATCTTGTTAAAATTTAAGGACTAAGAAATCGATATTGATAGTTCAGAGTTCTATAGTTACCTCTTCTAGACTTTAAACTTTTATCCCCAACTTCTCTAGTCATATTTTACCTAACTTTTGATGTAACGCCAGTAAAATTGTATTGCCCTTGAAACAAAAGTCCTGTCAAGTGCAGATATCAACTAACACTGTGACTAAGTACAGGGGCCTTGCCATAAGAAAGTAGGACTCTAAGCAAGTTACCTCAACTCGTTTGAGTCTTGTGAGAATTAAATAAGATAGTTAAGTAAGCCTGGTCGGTGTGGCTCAGTGATTGAGCATCGACCCATGCACCAAGAGGTCACTGGTTCAATGCCTGGTCAGGGCACATGTCTGGGTTGCAGGGTCAATTTCCATCAGGGGGCGTGTGGGAGGCAATTGATCGATGATGTTTCTCTCTCATCAATGTTTGTATCTCTCTCAAATCAATAGAAACATATTTTTTTAAAGGATGGTTAAGTAAAGTGCCTACCACCTTGTCTGGCACTTAGTAAATACTGCTAAAGAAATGGTAGCCACTGCTATTATTATCATTATTTTAATAGATTTTAAAAGTCTTTTTTTTTCAGACACACATAATAGTTCAGCCTGAAGAGGAAAATTCTGTGGTGTTTTGCATAATGCTATAAATTCCTGGTTTATTCTTTTAAGCAATAATTTTTAATGTTTATTTTTAGAGTTTAGTGGCAAGGTAGTAGGGTACAGTAGCAAGGCTACCTGAAAAGGGTACTGGGAAGTCTGTTCGTATCTCTTCCTCTTGAAGACCTATGTTTCTATTAATGGGTTCTTACTTTGGAAGGAACTAGAGGGGCTCCAGATGTATCCACAGTGATGCTTCTGCTGTTGCAATGAGAGTATTTCTTTCTAGGTAATCAGATGAGCAGCCGTCTGATGAGCATGCGCAGCGCCAACGGATTGTTGATGCTACCTCCAAAGACAGAGCAGTACGTGGAGCTCCACAAGGGCGAGGTGGTGGATGTCATGGTCATTGGACGACTATGATGGTCACCAGCGGAGAAAGCTTTGATGCATGTCCACATATCATTGACTGTATCCTGTAATATGCAACGGCACAGCTAGTTTTTCTGATTTGGATAAAAGTTGATCTGTATAGTCAACATCTTGAACTATATTTCAAAAGAATTTAAATACCTTTTAAAGAAAAAAAACACCTAAAAATAAATCTTAACAGATAACTCTATTCTGATTATATCAAAGCAAATTTTTCCTTTCTTGCAAATTGCTTTGTGTGTTCAATGCTAGGTCTGATAGCAATAGCTTTTAGTAGACAGCAGTAGGTGCCTGCAGAACTTGTGTTTTTCTCATCTTTAAACAACTACTTATGCTCTCAAATCAAGGCTGTCTGCTTATTTATACTAGCGTAGGCAACACTTGGATTTCCCTTCTTAGTATGCTTCATAACCGCTTTACAGAGAGCTTTCGCTTGTTCTTTATCATGTATCTCGTGTTTATGTGCACAGTGCCAACAGAAGAGCGACTGGGGGAGGCCCTGCCCTGCCTCCAGGAGAGCCATCCCTCGCAGAGCTTCCGGGAAGTTTCTCACCCCAGGAGCCTCATGGCACAGTACTCTTGGGCAGTAACTGGATACCTTTTATTTGAACAATCTAACTGGGGGGAAATGCTTCCTTAAGTGCTGACAGCCTTTTTAACCAATACATTTAAAATTGTACAGAAAAAAAACATAAAATCAAAGACTGATCTTGTACAGATATTAGTGTTACCAGCATTCATGTGGAAATCAAGAGCAAAGAAAAAATAATGATAAACAACTCTGTACCATAACATTTTCTGTAATGATACTGAAACTTAATGAATAAAAAAAAATCCTTGATCATTATATAAAAACCCATTGTGTTGGCCTTGTTATTAAACATTGTCATGTATTTTCATGGGGTTCTGCCTGGATGAAAGGCATATTTAAGATGACTCAGCAAGATTAAGTGATATAAAGGAGATGTAAAGTGTGGCTTTATATAACTATATTTTACTACAGTATTGTGGTCTGTAGCTTTGTGAAAATACAGAGTAGAAGACAGTAGGGAACCTGTGGTTGGTCTGGTGTTTCCAGTCATAGCTAGAGAATAAGAAGCAAGTTTAGAGGAAAGATAGTTGATAATTTAGGAGCAGAATAACTAAATTCTTATGCCATAAAAACAAATTTCAAACATCTACAGTTCTTTGGAATGGAGGGGAAACGTAAGTAGTGCACCAGGAAATGTCAGATGAGTACCTTTTTTTATCATGTTTGAAAGGAAGTGAGAAATGGAAATAATCTGTGCTGATCATAGAAAATGCAACAAATGAAATACAGTTTATCCACGTGGTTCATTTAATAAAAATTTAAGGGCACTTTTCAAATAGTAATAACAGGACACTGAATATGCTATAGGTTATTCTTAGTAAAGCAAACAATAAAAATTGCCCTCTTAGTAAACAAGGTACCAAGTGATGATGATGAATGAAACCAAGTTGTAAACAACAAATATTTGATTCTAATATTTCATATCTCCAGAGTTGAAAATACAATGTCCTATATTTCAAGTTTTATACTTGCAATTAAAGAAGATAAGGTTAGTTAATAGAGGTCAAGTGAAAGATTATGAACAGGGATTTACCTATATTCATTCAAGAAGTATTTATTGATTATCTAATACGTGCTTGGGAACAAAGTATATCATGCTACTATTTACAAAGATGAATAGAGATAGTAGCTAACATTAAATTCCATCAAGGGAAAAAACAAAAACACATAATATTTGATATGTTTGATACTTGAAAATACATGGTAGAGTGTGTAGAATATGATAAATGGCATGATTCAGATTTAAAGAGTTGGAGAAGTTCAAATGATTACCTCCTATAAGGTAAGATTTCAAGGAATAAGATGGCATTTTAGTGGGTCTTAAAGGAAGTGTATAATTTTAAAGATGATGCAGGAAAAAGGCATTCCAGAAACAGAATTATGGACAATTAATAATTATTTCTATTATAAAATGTAAGCTCCATGAGGGAAAGAATTTTGTTTATTTTATTCACTTACATTATCCCAAGTCCATAGAAGATTTCCTGGCATATGTGTAGGCATCAGTAAATATTTGTTCAATGAAATACATTATATAGAGCTTACTATATGCTCATTACTTTTCATTTGTTTAATTTTCACAACAACCCTGAAAGAATTATTATTTCTATACTAGATGCCTGATGCACGAAATTTGTGCAAGTTTAGGCCTTCCTTCCCCCGGCTGCCGGCACCGGCTTCCCTCTGGCACCCGGAACCGGGGCTTCCCTCGCAGACATTCAGTCTAATTAGCATATTAGGCTTTTATTATTATAGATTACAAATGAGAAAATTAATGCACAAAAAGATTTAAGCAACTTGTCCATGGTCACACAGCTAGTAGGAGGAGGAGCCAAGATTCAAATTTAGCAATCTGGCTTGAGAGTCTGTATTCTTAAACACTAAGCTAAAGAAACAGAAAATTGATAAAGAAGAGGGGAGGGCCATTGGAGCATCTTAGTGTGGAGTGTTGGAAGAAAAAAATCCATGAATGGAATGGAAGGGAGAGCATTTTGTAGAAGAAAAGAAACCAGGTAGAGCAGTGTTCCAAAAATCAAGGAGGAGAGTTTCAAAAAGGAATGATAATAAACTGTAAAAAAGAAATGTCAAGAAAGATGAAGGCTCAGAAAGATTTGTTGATTAGGCAATTGTTGGTGAGCTACATAAGTGCAATTCAATAATGGGTTGAGGGCAAAAGCCAGATTACAAAATGGAAACTGTAAACTTGTGCATAAGGAAAATAGACACCGGATGGTAGCTTAAACCAGTAACAAGGTGGAGGAAACATTTTTGTTTGGTTTTGAGAAAAGAGAAACAGCAGTGGCAGGCATGTTAAAAATCCCAGAGTAAGGTTTCAAATGGAGAAAGAGGAGGAAGGAAGGGCTGGATTTCAGGGCCCTCGGGGCCCAATTAGGCTGGAAAATAAAAGAAACATCTTTCCTTCTGAGTTAGAAAAGGGAAAAATATGAACACGCTTGAAACAAATACAAAGGGAATTTATATTTTAATTGAATTTACTGGGGCAACATTGGTACACAAAAGCATACAGGTTTCAAGTGAACAACTCAACAAAACATCATCTGCACACAGCATCATGGTGTCTATTGCCCCTAGCAAAGTCTCTTTCCATCCCCTTTCCCCACCTCCACTTCCACCCCACCCCTTTTTCTCTGGCTAACACCACACTGTTGTCTGTGTCTAGGTGTTATAGATATATACTAAATATACTAGAGGCCCGATATATGAAATTCGTGCAAGAGTAGGCCTTCCTTCCCCCAGCTGCCGGCACCAGCTTCCCTTATGGCACCTGGGACCCGGGCTTCCCTCACAGCCCCGGCTTCATCCATAGGGTCATCCGGAAGGACATTGGGTCTAATTAGCATATTATGCTTTTATTATTATAGATATAGATATTGATATAGATATAGATACACACACACACACACACACACACACACACACACACACACACATACATACATACTAGAGGCCCGGTGCACCAAAATTCATGCACTCAGGGGGGTCCCTCAGCCCGGCCTGCGACCTCTCCCAGTCTGGGACCCCTCGGGGGATGTCCACACACACACACACACACACACACACACACACACACACACATACATACTAGAGGCCCGGTGCACCAAAATTCATGCACTCAGGGGGGTCCCTCAGCCCGGCCTGCGACCTCTCCCAGTCTGGGACCCCTCGGGGGATGTCCGCCTGCTGGCTTAGGCCTAAGCCGGTAGTCAGACATTTCTCTTGCAGTCCGGGACCCCTCGCTCCTTACCGCCTGCCTGCTCGCTGCTCCTTACACTCGGCTAGCTGCTCCTTAGCACTGCTGTGGAGGCGGGAGAGGCTCCTGCCACCACCGCTGCACTTGCCAGCAGTGAGCCCAGCTTCTGGCTGAGTGGTGCTCCCCCTGTGGGAGCGCACTGACCACCAGGACACAGCTCCTGCATTGAGTGGTCAGTGTGCATCATAGCGACTGGTCGTTCTGCCATTTGGTTGATTTGCATATTACCCTTTTATTATATAGGATGTGTGTCTGTGTGTGCGCATGTTTTGCTTAATCCCTTCTTTTATCCAGTCCCCAGCCCCACTTCTCTCTGACAGCTGTCCGTTCCACATGTCCATACCTCTGTTTCTATTTTGTTCGTCAGTTAATTTTGTTCACTAGATTCCACATATAAGTGAGATCATATGATATTTGTCTTTCTCTGACTGGCTTATTTCGCTTAGCATCACAGTCTCCAGTTCCATCCATGTTTTCACAAAAGATAAGATCTTTTTTTTTTTCTTTTTTTTTTTACAGCTGAGTAGTGTTCTATTGTGTAAATGTACCACCACTTTTCTTACCACCATTCATCTACTGATGGGCCCTTGGGCTGTTTCCAGATCTTGGCTATTATAAATAATGCCAAGGAATGAACATAAGAATGCATATATTCTTTTGAATTAGTGTTTTTATGTTTCTTAGGATATATTCCCAGAAGTGGGATGGCTGGGTCATAAAGAAGTTCCATTTTTAATTTTTTTAAGAAACTCCATACTGTTTTCCATAGTGGCTGCACCAATCTGCATTCCCACCAACAGTTGTACAAGGGTTCCCTTTTCTCCACATCCCTTGCCAGCACTTGTTTGTTGATCTATTGATGATAGCCATTCTGACAGGTGTGAGGTGATATCTCATTGTGTTTTTCATCTGTATCTCTCCAATGATTAGTGACATTGACATTTTTCATATGTATATTGGCCTTCTGTATGTCTTCTTTGTAGAAATGTCTATTCAGGTCTTTTGCCCATTTTTTAATTGGGTTGTTTGTCTTCTTGGTGTTGAGTACTATACATTCTTTATATATTTTAGAAATTAACCCCTTATCACATGTATCATTGGCAAATGTATTCTCCCATTTAATTTAAAAGTTAAGATTTAATGAAATAGTTCTACTTGACACAGTGGAAGTTTCAATGTCATCTAATCTATTTGCATTATTTGACCAAAATTATTTTAGAATTACACATATATGATGTTTTATATTCTTTGTCTTAGTAGTTGGTGTTTAAATAAAAGACTATAGAACAGCCGTGGGCAAACTACGGCCCGCGGGCCGGATCCGGCCCGTTTGAAATGAATAAAACTAAGAAAGAAAAAGACTGTACCCTTTTATGTAATGATGTTTACTTTGAATTTATATTAGTTCACACAAACACTCCATCCATGCTTTTGTTCCGGCCCTCCGGTCCAGTTTAAGAACCCATTGTGGCCCTCGAGTCAAAAAGTTTGCCCACCCCTGCTATAGAAGATGTTTTTAGATTCCTACTTAAAGCTGTGTGGAAGGTAAGAAGCTCCTTTTTAACCTGCTTTTTTGGTTCTATTGTGTGGGTTGTTTCATATCACACAATGAAGAAAAGAATATAAGCAGTTTAGTTTACCAAGTAAATGCTGTTAAGGGATGTTGCATATTATAGCAAGTGGATTCTTTGAATGGCTTTCATTTTTTCAATTATTTGCCAACTAAAGTTTGTGGATCTAACCCGTGATGAACTCTTGATCTTCATGAAATCCTAACAAGGTAAGTCATTATTATTCCCAATTATATAAAGTGGATATTTATGTAAGTGCAGAATTCAACGCAGATAAACTATGTATCTTGTTATTCCAATGATGATGGATCGAAGTTAATAATACATTGCATTTTAACTTGCTTATAAGAAATATTAAGCCCAACTCTATAACAGAAAGGTATAGTTACAGAGTGCATCAATAACTCAGCC